CCAAATTGTCTCTTATGCCCTGGGGCCTTGCTGGGGGCGTGGCCGTCCCATGGCCCATTGGGAAGGCCTGTTGTCGTTTCCCTGAGTTTGATTTTTGTTAGGGCAGTCCCTGATAACATGTCCTGGTTCCCGGCAGAAATAACAAACTCCATTGTTACTGCCAACTTTAGGATTAACCGTCAACTTTTCCATCATTGTAGTAAGTCGTTGCATACTTGACTTTAATTCTTGAATCTCTCTTCTTGTCTTCTCATCTACAGGAACTGGTTCAACCTTGTTGTCCATTGAGCGAATCTGACGAGTCGGCTTGAAACGATCTCTCACCCTCTCTGACTTCATGAAGGATTCAGTGGCAAGAGCAGCACGGATAGCCTCATCAAGGGTTGTTGGATGTGCTCGGAATATTCCCGCTCTGATTTCCTGCTCTTCTAACGCATCTGAAAAATGTCCTCTAGCAAGGCGCTCCCTGGCGTCGCTATTCAATTCCGGGTAAGCAAGACTTGTCAAATCGCGGATTGCTTGTCCCAGCTCTTGCAATGATTCATCTTTACGTCTTCGTCTCATTCTCAACTCAATGAGAAAGTTTTCAGCGTTCTCTCCTGGACCAAATCTTTGTCCCAACTGACTTGCCAGTTTACTGTACGTAATTCTCTCATGTGGAGCCAAACTTCCAAGTACTTTAAGTGCCGGACCATGCAGTCTAGTTGCCAGATATTGTCCCGCTTCCAAGTCACTCCAACCATTGAAGTTCATACACACTTCAAAGTGTCGTCGATAGTCCAGCCACGGCATTTTACCGCCAAACTTCTCAGGTAATACATCTTTCCGGAAAGAGGTTCTTCTTGTGCGACCTACCACCTCGGTTGGGTCTCTACTATCAACATACTGAGCATCTAACCGAAACTCCTGTGACGTGTACTCTTGTCGACCCTCTTCTGGAATGGAATCGCCGAACCCTCCAACATGTACTACCACTTCTGGGTCAGTCACATCATTGGCCCAACGTTTTGGACTATCGGCTCCACTAACGTGCTCAGCTTGGGGATTTACAGCAACGTTTTTGTTTTCTAAGTCCATTATGACCTAGATGAAAGAGAAAATAGTTTTCTCTTTCATTCAGTATTTTTATTTTGTTTAATTTAATTTTGCTAGTCAAGTGTGTCTCTTACAATGTATAGAAATAAGGTTTCTAATTTGTGCCACACTTAAGCTACATACTGTACATGTACAGCCTAATAAGGTACAATAATAGTGTTACAAAGTAATATAATATTTTTAATTCTATTATCTATATTTCTCTACTGTAAAGCAATGCCTGACCAACACTCATCTCCTATAATTATATTCAACAAAAATATTTGATATTACTTAGCCATCCCACCGCTGTGCCACCAATGTGACGCGGGACGCAAAACACCTTCTCAACAAATGAGTCTAAATAGAAATTGCTGCCACCACATGGTGATATAGGGACATGACCCCTGGATCAACTGAGGTTTCTCCAGTTGATCCCAATCTAAATGGAAAACTACGTCACTATATGAATTGTCTTTCCTTGTGACGTAACAATGCAAGACTGCAAGAGAGTTAATTATGCATAGAAAATGGGGGGAAAGGATTGCCGCTGATTGGCTAAGAGTAATGCGTGCCAAGTGCCATTCAATCAGACACCATGCGCCCATGTTACAAATTAGGAGCCATTCGTCTTAGTGTGCTCAAGAAATCCCGACAGAATTCACCAAGATGTTCCTCATGATGCATTCAGCTTCTTGTAGATTAAAAAGGAACAAGTCAAGAAATACTGGTAAATATTCTGTACTCTGATACTCTGTCTAATTGTTTATTCTGAATAATCTCTCTTCCATCATAGGCTTGTCGCTACTCATTCACATACCATTAGCAACGTGTATCAATATTGCACGATAACCACGTACAGAACTTAGGCATTTTCCCGCACATGCATACGTTCACTCCACACTACTCAGGGATAGGTACCACAGAGTACTCACTTAGCCTCTCGCTGCATAGTCTCGCATTTCCCTTACTCTCTGTCTCTCAAACTTATCCGAGCTGGAATCAATGGCGTAATAGGGCCGTTTGCATCAAGCAAACTGTTGGCTAAATAAATCAATCTAAACTCATCATTTTCTCTCTCGCTCTCACTTGACAATTGTAGTTACCTCTCCATCAACATCTTCTTTATCAATCAGGTCTACAATTATTGGTCAGGCAATTGCTTCGATGAATAATGCAAGAATACTTTGTAATAACGTTTAACTTGAACTTTAATAATGTATAAAACAGTAACTGGTGGAATGAATTCCGCAACGATGGTAAAGATACAACTTAGTCTAGGTTACATGGTATTTTAATCCACTTGGAGTACAAATATTTATAAGTTATTTAAATTTCGTTCCAACGTTTCTGTCTTTATTCGATCCTAGTTCCCAAGTCAGTGTTAACTCTTCTTTTCATACTCATTATCCCCTTGGCCTAAACCGTGTTGTTGCGACCAGCGCTTAAACACATCCTTTCGTATATCAATAAACCTCGCTTCTCAACTTGCCAACACCATTTCTCCCCTCCTGGGCATACCTGAACCAAACTTTCCCATCTTAAAACGTAGTCACTACCTTCTGGTCAGTGCTACTTTCAGAAACCGACGCTTAATAGAAACTGGCCTCAGAGATATTATCTCCCAGAAACTATGTCTAAAGATATCTTAACGAGGGAACAACTCTCTTGTTTAATCTGAACCATAACTTCTCAGAGTTTAACTCTAAATTCACAAATATATAAAATGTAATTACTAAATCAATGCATGGCGGTGGACTAGCAGGAAGAGAAGGGAGGGGGGGGGGGGAAGATGGTCAACTTCCAAGTCCTCTGATCTTGGTTCTAGTACCTCACTGACTGATCATCAAAACTGTAAGCAGTCTGATAAAATGTTCATCTAAACAGAAATTGCATTCTGTTCTGTAGCCAAAATCATCTAACTGATCATCAAAACTGAAGGCAGTCTGATAACATGATCATCTAACAGAAATTGCATTCTGTTCTGTAGCCAAAAATCATCTGACCTGATATCCTGAAAGGGGAGGGGGGGGGGGGGGGGGGGGGGGGAACTAGTGACACCGCCTAAGACTAAACATGCATTGATTATGATATCTAGTAAGCATTTATGAATACATGTGCTTCAATTCCGTACAAGTTTATGACCGAAAGGTCTGAACTTAGAATATTTCCTAAGGTAACAGTTACCAAAAATACTTAGAATATTTTAATAGAGCAAGTGACCGAAAGGTCTGAACTTAGAATATTTTCTAAGGTAAACAGTTACCTTAGAATACTTAGAATATTTTAATAATACAAGTGACCGAAAGGTCTGAACTTAGAATATTTTCTAAGGTAAACAGTTACCTTAGAATACTTAGAATATTTTAATAATACAAGTGACCGAAAGGTCTGAACTTAGAATATTTTCTAAGGTTAACAGTTACCAAAAATACTTAGAATAATTAAGCAGTGCAGGTTACCGAAAGGTCTAGAGTCTACACTTAGAATATTTGTATGTATATTCTACAACCATATTGAACAAGGTAAAAGTTTATGTATAGAGGCACTTTTGAGACACACTTAACTCTTCCAGATAGCTTAGTCAGAAGACTAAGATTTAAGATGTCAAAGTATTAACATATTAAAGTATTGAAGTATTAGAAAGTCTTAAAGTGTTGAAAATCCATCAATTTCCAACCAGTAAAGGTCTGAATAAATAATGCCAGGGTCCCAGACCCTGCAGTACGAACGAGGACATATGTTCCTTCCACACATGTTGTTCAGTTCTATAATAAATAATTATATACAAGGATGCAATGAATGAGTTGTCTTTTCTGTGTAAGTCCTATCAGAGCCAAAACAGTGACACTTAGAATATTTCAGAAGTGTAAGTAGACTCTAGAGACCAAAAGGTCGACACTTAGAATAATTTGGACATTTCAACATATTTCAATAAGCACACAATTAATTCCAGAATTCAGTCTGAAAATATCACATCATACACTTCATACATCAATATTATTATCTCCATTAGATGTGAAAGTACTGAAGAACTATATCGGGAATTATATTACCAACGATCCAAATCTAAAATCTGAATTTGTAAATCGAATTCAATTTCCTCCTAAAATCCCACATTTAGATAATGAATTCATTAAATCAGTAAGAACTGCATTCCATATTAATTTTCCATCTTCCCTTTAATTATTCCTAGACTATTTAATTTGAATAAAATTGGTACTTACAATGCTTCTTTGGGTGAAAGCTGAGAAGAGAATAAGAATGAATTGAGAACGTCCGAATGGTCTTCCAAAATGGCGATCTGAGAACTTGTGCCAAATTTGTGTCTCCCGCCCCGTATTTATACCCCTCCAATCCGGCAACGTGATTGGTCAAAAGTTCACACATATTTACGCGCCACTTTTAACCAGGCCGACCGGCCAGATAACCAAATCTCTGAATAAAATAGCACCCTCTACGTCACATTCAATGCAACTCAAAATCTCTCGCGGGAAGTTTAAAAGGTAAATTCCTGAACGCGCATACATGTGTACATTATCTCACAGGAATAATACAAAATAGTTACCAAGGAAATCTAATACTACGAGAAATACCAAAGGTGAGTACCTGCTTCCATAACATTATACATGTATGTGTAATTCTTGAGCATTAAAGTTTAAAAAGGTGACATAAGGTGTCTCACTTTAAGAGAGGAATTCCAGTCCCACACATTGTATTTGGTGTGGTAAAAAAAAAAGATTTATCGAAAGTTTATTTATCTATCCAAGTCCATATGAAAGATAAACATGTATATTTTATTTACCCACCAATTGTTTAATTAAAAGGGAAAAAATAGAGGGGTGGGGTCCAAAAACGCCACAATATCTTTAAATAAACTTTATGTCAGTGTATACTTTCACAATTTTCATATACCCCTGGAACAGGATTGTTGAAGTACATGAGGAGCCAAGCCATTGGTCAGCTTCCTTGAAGGAGTGCTCTGATTGGTTGAAAAAGTATTTTGAAAATGCAAACACAATCAAGGGTCTTCCTCTTCCACCTCTTCACATCACAGAATTCAAATCAGGTTAGTTATTAATCGTCAATCTGTAACTTTTTGTGATGTTATTCAAACACCATTTATGTTTAGAATGGAGATTTTATGTAGTACAGATTTTGTGCAAAATTGAAATGCATGTATTATTCCAAAGGTTTTATTAATGTTAGAATGCCACAATATCTTCCAAGACATTTACTTTTCTATAAATGTATTTTATTTGAGACTTGTATCCCGTTTTTATATAGTTTTCATATTGTGATATTGTCTCGCCTGCGTAGCAAAAAGCGAGACATAGGCGCCGCTTTTCCGGTGACGGCGGCGGCGACGGCGACGGCGACGGCGTCAACATCAAAAACTTAACCTAAGGTTAAGTTTTTGAATTTTTTGTATAATTTTTAAAGTATAAGTTCTTAGTCAATGAAACTTTGACTATAGGGTAATCAAGTATCCCCAATCATGTGAGTAGAATTTCAGATCACAAAGTCAAGGTCAAAGGTCATTTCAGGTCAACAGACTTGGACTATGTTGTAGCATCATCATCGAAAACTTAACCTAAGGTTAAGTTTTTGAATTTTTGATATAATTTTGAAAGTATAAGTTCTTAGTCAATGAAACTTGGACTATAGGGTTATCGAGTCTCCCCAATCCTGTGAGTAGAATTTCAGGTCACTAAGTTAAGGTCAAAGGCCATTTAAGGTCAACAAACTTAGACTTTGTTGTGGCATCAACATTAAGATTTTCAAAATGCTTCTTCTTCGTTATTTTTCAACCGATTTTGATTCTGATTGTTTCATATGATAGGGCTAGGAGGGGATTTAAAATTTCTACACAGAATCGTGAAATTCATTATCTATGCTAATTTATGCAAATTTATTCGAAATCACAAAAAAGGCTTCTTCTCCTTCATTTCTCGACCGATTTTGATTTGGTTTGCTTTATATCGTAGAGCTAACTTTGGTACACTAAACTTCTACACAGAATTTTGAAATTGTTCTCCATTAATTAATTATGGTAATTTATGCAAATTTATTCCAAAAATAACAAAAATTGCTTCTTTTCCCTCATTTCTTGACCGATTTTGCCTTATCTGGTAGAGCTAAATTTGGAACAATAAACTTCTACACAGAATTGTGAGATTTTGCTCCATTGATTATTTATGGTACTTTATGCAAATGAAATGAAATTATGTCCCTTCCAGGGCATCAAATTTCTATTTTTTGACCAGTTCAAAAGTGTACCACATAAAATTTACGATATTTGTTGTTGTGAGATGCGGATGAGCGCTACGTCATTGACGTTCTGGTTTATCATATTGAATTGCGTTATGCAGGCGAGACCGCCGAGAGCGTTTCCCTTGTTTCTGTATTGTGACATCTTGAAGATTACAATGCATATACAGTGAACATCTAAATTATTCATAGCCCTTGTAAATGTTATGTTCTTGTGTTTTCCATAAATCAGGAGTGAAGGGTGGGCTGGGTGGGCTGGTTGAATTAGGGCCTTTGTTGAATACATTTAGATGTAAGCTTTAATATGTCACATTATCAAGTAAATTTCATTTATTGAATCCTTTATTCAATAATTTATTTTGTATCTGTCGAGAGCTTGAGAAAAATGGATGATATAATCATATAAGCCTGATAAATGTCCACAAATTCTCTGTCTTTATCATATAGACTCTTTCTCATCTCAAGTGTGGACAAAACTTGCATCTGATGTTCCAGCAGGGCAAACCGTGACCTACGGAGAGCTCGCCGCCATGCTTGATAATCCTAAGGGGGCAAGGGCAGTGGGCGGGGCTATGAGAAACAACCCCACCCCCTTGGTGGTGCCTTGTCACAGGGTGTTGGGGAGTGGAGGAAAGCTAGGGGGCTTCATGTCTGATAAAGGAATTGTCCTGAAGGAGTGGCTCTTGAAACACGAAGGAGCCAGCTACTAGTACTAGAGTACTTTAATGTTTCACCCATTGGTAAAGTCTTGCGTTTTGTTCATTTCTTTTATGTTGCTGATCCTATTTTAGCACAGACTCGTACATATACTGCTAAGTTCGTGTTTGAAATAAGTTTTGATTTGTAGCAATGCAGTCTCATTTAAAGATATTTTTGTTCATAACTCCATGGTAGCATTTTAGAGAAATCCCATCACGTTTTATTTTGTAGACGTACTGTAATATTTTCTTTCTGTCTCTCGTAAGTTTGAAGTTGGTGGTGTGACTGAGGTTTGTACTATGAATCTTCTTGTTTTTACATAAAATTGACAGTTCATGCCTACTCTTGTATTGTTCCTCTCTTTCTTTCTTTATTTCACTTTCTCTCTTCCCACCTCTTCTCTCTCTCTCCTCTTTTGCTACCCCCTCCCTTTCTCTCTGATTATTATAACTATTTGGCATAGCTTTTGTCACTTTGAATGAATCACATTTACCATAATTTAGTACGTTCTTGTTTAAAGGTAATACAAAGTTTTGGTATGGGGTCATGAATTTGGTTCCAATGAACATATTGGAAGCATATGCGATCCTACCACCATCAGTGATCGTTGTCGGGATTGAAATCGGGTCTAAAGTTATGAAATTGGAAATAATAAACTATTTATGTTGTATAGCTCCTTCTCAAGGTCAAGATATTAATTAAGCTATAAAACAATGTTTCTTGACTAAAATCGACCGACTAGCTATTCCCATTTGAAAAATATATATCACAACTACAAATTCTGAGATTTTCATGGTCGCAGCTACTATTGTGCGGCTGTAGGCGCTATTTGAAATTTATCAAGATTTACCGGGAGCACCGGTAAATTTTTATATTCAATATTTCTCGAAAGCAGAATTGTTTTAGGGGCTAAATTTTCTAGTGCTTATAATACATCCACAGGGGCATCCAAATTTATCAAAATTGTAAAGAATCACTATCCACCCAATTTTCAAAATTTCCCAAAACTTTGTATTACCTTTAAATATTCAAATTTTAAAAATGTAAATGGACAATCATGTACTTGTACTACAATTTATCCATAGATTTGCTGTATTTGCCTCATTTAATTATGAGCAGATCAAAACGTACAATGTTAGTTCACTGTTATATAAGCAAACAATACAAATTACCCTAAACAGCTCACCTTGGCAAAAATGTCCATAATTTATTTAGGACTATTTTTTGTGCCACACTAAATTAATCACATCATTCAGGAATTACTGTATTTGTAAAAGTTTTTTTTTTATTGATAGACATCTCCTCTTAGAGTTTAGAGGAAATTCACATATAACCCTCACGAGTCAACTCATGTACATTCGTAATCTATGTTGTCTTTTAACAGGAAAAAGGAATCTGCTGAAAAATACAGTACGTTCCCTCAGCTGTTTAAGTTGGAAGTGTAAAGAAAGTTACTAATATATGTATGACATTTTCCTAGGTCAGTAGTTTTCAATCCCCACCCCCTCCCATGTATTGGCCTATCATTTGTAGTTAGTGCCTTTAGGTTAGAAGGTTAATCAAAAGTTCATGTTATATTTACTTGCAGCTTAAGAAATGTATATATGCACTACAATGTGCCTTGTGATTGATTCTGAAATAAAATATTTTGATGGTAAAATACTCAGAATAGGTGTCCTTGAAGATTTTGTGTGTGTTATTTATCAGTATAAATGGGTGTTCATGATAAAGAAGGCCAAGGACTAGCCAATAGACCCAACACTGTACAATAACCTAAAACCCAATTGCAACCCTAACCCTAACCAAATAGCTGTACATTTGACAAAATAAAGCCTGTGACAAATGTCAGAGCACCACACATGGACCTGTAGTAACTAGCTTCAGACAAAAGCACATGTCAGAGCACCACACATGGACCTGTAGTAACTAGCTTCAGACAAAAGCACATGTCAGAGCACCACACATGGACCTGTAGTAACTAGCTTCAGACAAAAGCACACTCGTAACAAATATCGTGGAGTCCTATCCAGATAAAATATCTCGTGTCATCTGCTGAAAACCAGAAGTTCATTAACTCATATCAAATAACGTAGTAACGCCCTTCCAACTCTCAACAGATGACATCTGGTATTGCCTTCCCTATTATATGTTGTTTGAAATCACTCCAGTGCAACAGCAGCATATAATGTTTGAATACTGGCAATACAAATTACATGCACATGTACCTCTGGTATTAATTTACACAAAATTACATATGTTTTTATCTTAGAACTGAATATTCAACTTCTTTCTTTATTGCTTTCCTATAAAAATCCACATTTCTGGTCTCCATTAAAGAAGTTGCATGTCACCTGTGATTTACAAACCATTTTCCATATAGGTTTTCTCCCAAAACTATTCTTTGCACAATCACTCATTACTTTCAAGAGAAACTTACATTTTAACAAGATAGAAATATCCAAACACACACTGCATAAAACAGATAACAAATCAGCACCTCTTTCAATAGACTTCCTTCACGATCAATGCTGAACGTACTTGGCAGATCAATAATGGGATGAAAAAGGATAAATTGATCTTAAAGTCAATAAATTTGGTGAGCACTGTCGTTCCTTGACATCTTCAAAAAGTCTAATCCAAGAACATGATACACATACTACCTGATGATATGATATCATCACATGATCAGAGATCAATTCTCTGCTGATTTTATGTGATCTCCATCTCCCTCCACTAACTCTTCATCCTTGGCTTTTACTGTCCTCTGTTTGAAACCTTCCCAAGCAGTGTCCTCCGGCAGGATGGGTTCTCCGCTCTTCTTCATGAGGAAGTTATAATTCTTGGGGTTGTCCAAAGCCTCGTTGATGGCAGCTTCCATGCTTTCCATGGTGATGAAAGTCTTGCTGGCCTCCTTTTAGTTTGAATAAAATGAAAATAAAATTGACAATAGCAGTGATTCATCATCAACGGACAATACATGTATACATGTACATGAAAACAAATCCTGGGATTTTATGCCACCTCCATTTCTCAACAATATCTTGCATAACTACATGTATATGGGTAATTCCATAAATTAGTGAACCACTTTGTGACATTTTTTGTGTCCCTGTTACATCAGGAACCCACATTTATTTGTGGCTCGCTCTAAGTAAAGACTTAAATAGTGGAGTCAGGGCTTAAATTAATCTGGAGTATGATTGTTAAGTAATTCTAGGTATTAGGATGCAATATTATGCTTGGATTAATCTCTTTACAATCTCACTCCACTATTTAAGCCTTTACTCAGAGCCACAAATATGTGTGGGTTCCTTATGTAACAGAGACACCAAAAAATGTCACAAAGTGGGTCCCTAATTTATGGAATTACCCATATCCAAGACAAGGATGAATCTATTGCTTCTACTGCCTTATTCAATCTCGGTAGAAGCAATAGATTCATCCTTGCTTAGAGCTTGTGAGAGCATTAATTAACAAATGATAAATGAATAAATATGAACACTGAGATTTATATGATTTATACTGGTCTATCTTTCCCATCTCATTTATAATGTACTTGACTGAGACTGGAGTGCTGTAGACTAATCCCATTCCCAACTACCCCCCTACAGACAATGGATGGTTGGATATAGTCTCATCAACATGATCTCCAGACTTTGCCAAACACATTTGCAATGAATAAGAAGGAAATCCCATAGCTTGTGGGAAAGGGCAAGTGACGGAAGTATTTCCCATCTTGCAGTATTGATAAGTTAAGCTGAACAGGTTCTTGACATAATTGCCCATGATGCACATTTGATCTTCCACATCCACAAAAGAAACGAGCAACACATGTATGACAAGGTATTTAAACAAAATATGACAACAATTTAAAATTAAGGCTCAATATGACTGACTATTCCTATTAATCAGGAGCCTTTAATATACAAGCTTTGCTTCTTAGTAGGTTCCACATATTTCAAATTATTATTTCTCTATGTTACAGGTCTATCATTTTTTTTATTATTATGCATTCTCTTTTAAAATCTTTTGTACGAGACAACCTTGTAAAAATTGTGAACTATAAAACGCAAATAATTCACTACATATCAATATATGCTACAATGTAATGTATTCAACTTTGACATCTTTAATTTCAATTCTAATAATAAAATAACTTTACCTGTTCCTGCAAGACAAGCTGTCTCATTCTCTCTGTTTCTTCTGCCTCCTGCTCTTCCTTCCTTAGCAACCTCTGCAGATTCTCTTCTTCATTCTCTTTAGCCTTGGCAGCAAGTTTCTCTTTCCTTCAATAAACATGAAAAACAAGAAAATGTCATTTGCATGGTTTTATCCTTTTATTAAGAATTAAGTTTTACTGACCCCACCCTTGTGACACACACTTTACCAAACTTCTGCAAGAACCTTAAAAATTGAAGGAATCAGACTAAACTGAAGAAGTAGAAGAAGTAGAAGTAGGAGGAGGAGGAGGAGGAGGGAGGAGGAGGAGGAGGAGGAGGAGAAGGAGAAGGAGAAGGAGAAGGAGAAGGAGAAGGAGAAGGAGAAGGAGAAGGAGAAGGAGAAGAAAAAGGTTGTTCTGAAATTAATTTTATTTATGAATAAAAAAGATCATGTGAAAACTATTAAACACTTTTGTACACTTATTCTTAGATGATATTACCTTCTTGCATTTATCTTTGCATTTTCTTGTTCATTCCACTTCAGTAGTTGCCTGAATTCTTCCTCCTCTTCCCGTTCTTGCTCAACACTGGACAGACCTTCTGCTGTTTCATCCTTTTTCCTCTCAAGTTCCGCATTGAATAAACGTCTGAAGAAGAAGACAAAATTGTTATGAGAAATACAATTTCAATAATATACAAGTCAAGATAGATCAATATAGGTCTAGTTTGTTTTGATAAAAAAAATAAGTGGCGTTGCCGTTGCTCCCCGACGTTATAATATTTTGCAGTTTTGGCACTTGAAAAAAAACCTCACAATATCACAAATTTAAGTTACTAAGTATGCATACGGCCACTAGATACATGTTCATCATTTCAATAAAAGTAAACATCAATCAAAAGCAGACGTGTGGCATTTGTTGAATGTCCAAACACCCCCCCCCCCCCCCCAATTCCCATGCACCGATTGTTAACACATTTATTTAGTCACATGATTTTCAGTATATGGGACAGTGCAAGAAATATTCCTTCACGATAAATTTAATAGTTATGACGATTTGAAGGTAGATTACCTGACAGCATTCATAGTGGAGTTATAATGAGGGATTTTCTCTACCAAGAAAGCACGTTCCCATGGATCCCAAGGAGTGGGTTCCCGAACCTTTCCTATTTTGGATTTGGCCTTCGGATCTGTTCTTCGTTTTCTCCATCTGACTTGCTGTATTTGGAGGGATCCTGTAGCACTAATTGGCTCCCATGACCGCTGAACTACTCTTAAATGTGATAAGTGTGTTCTCACAATGCCAAACATTTTGTACGTCCTCTGAAACCTTCCTGTAAAATGTATATCAATAAACAAAATAGAATAAAATCGGCACTGTCTTGACGATTTGTAAAGTGCACGAGTACGAAGAGTTTTGCAAATTATGAAGTTAATAAATTGTTGAACAAAGAGGGCGACATTCTTCGCGGGAATGTCAGCTTGAAACAGCCACACACCACGCTCGTGCAAGCCAATTTACGATCACGATTAGTACGCATGCCGATGACGAAAGGGGAAGATACGCCCACTTTTCGTGGTATGGGGGTCAGGTCCAAGCCATTTTAATACTTCTCATAAGCCAAACGAAATCGATGTTTATATAGGTTAATAAATGAGTCCAATCGAGATCGAGAGCCAGATCAGAGCGAATAGAAAAAGGAAGTTCCCAGCTGCTAATGCTATTGTGGAAGTAAAATCAGCATATAACCAGCTATTTTTCTCCACCTGAGTCGTGAAAAATGGGTGATTCTGGAAAAGCATTTTATGGAGGAATCGAAGGGTGAGTATAAAACACGAGTAAACTTGAAATATAGGGTCTATTAGCATGATTAGGGTCTAGAGTCTAGGCCTAGATCTATGCCATGATTCAACATCTGAAATGGGAGAGCCTGGAGAGGAGAAGAAATGCTGCAAGCCTCCACCTCATGTACAAGATCCAAAACAAAACAGTAGCCATCAATGCACACCATTACACAGCACCCATGATTGCCAGCAACACACAACAGTATCACTCAAAGAAGTTGCTGGCTATCCCATCCCGCACCCAGCTCTACCAGAACTCATTTTTCCCTCGGACAGTAACTGCATGGAATGCACTTTCAAAGATCACCCTTGATGCTACTTCACTGGAGGGCTTCAAGGGAGCGCTTCCACCAAGCATCTAGACCAACAAGAACTAGATAGTTTATTCCTCAGCACTACATCCTGACTTATGGATCCTGCTGAGTATCGTCGTAGAAGTAGAAGTAGAAGTTTGCCTTTGTTTAGGCAAATTAGTGTAACTCCATGCTCCAGGGAGCTCTCGCCAACGCCTTTGGTGTCGGAGCTCCCTGGAGTTAGTCTTGGGGAGTTAGGCATATTTCACATGCTCAGTCTTTGACTTTAGTCTTTACTTATGGTGGTGTGACCAAAGTTTGCGTGTGACCTAAGTTCGCTATCTCAAAAAAATCAGTAAGATTTCGAAAATCTGATAATGAAGTTATCACCAATGGAAAGAGGAACTTAAAAGATGAAATTTTCTTTGGAATTGGGTAAGAAATTGTGAAAATATTGTCAAAAGATCAGCAAAGTTTGCAATCTTTCGCGTCCGTTCCGAAAAATTATCAACTTACCGATAAGGGTCTGGAAATCTTCAATTTGAGAGCAGATTTCCTCAAAATTGTAAGTAAAAAGTGGTACCAACTGATTGTATGATATCTTGCCATGTAAATTATGATATTAACTTATTTTTGATGGATCGGATATCTTGATAAATCAACTGTAAACCCTCGTGCATGAAGTTAGGTATGGCACGCCTTTAGGGAAACAAATAAATATATGCGACACTTTCAAAAATATATTTCACTCAAATGTATACATGTATATTCAACACTTTCAGAAAACATTTGACAAGTTTTATTTGACAAGAATTTTATTCGACATAAATTTCATTTGACACATTGTTCGTCAAAAATTGTATTTGTCAAACAAATTATTTGACAAAAATTTTATTTGGCAAAAATTTCATTCGACAAACTTTCATTCGACAAAAATTTCATTCGACAAAAATTTAGTTTGACAAAATCTTATTGGGCACATTTTGTTTTGTTCTACAAAAATATTATTCCAAGGAATTATTTTACTTTTTATTTGACAATAAAGGTATTCAACAAAAAATATGTATTCAACAAAGAAGCTATTCGGCGTTGAATGCATGCCATGAAAAAGTTATTCGTCTCAAAAAAGTTATTCGTCTAAAAAAAAGCTGTTCGACTCGCCCATAATACATGCGATACTTTATACAAAAACAGTAGTGCACGCGTGCGCAACAGGTAATCCGCAAGACCCTAATTTGACTTTTTATCAAAAAATCATTGTGCCTTGAGCTACCTACTGGTTGTGTCAGGAGCAGCTATAGAACGTGGCCTATGGTAGTCTTATAGTGCAGACACTATTTTATGACTGACCAGGGTTTGTGCCTGGCTGCCTGCAAACTACGCAACAGGTTTACAGTATGAAGACTAGGAAGGCCTATAGCCTCTGGTCGGACTACTTAGGGAGACGCAGGCCCCATGCATACAGGTAGTCTAGGCATGCAGCGCAGCTAGATAGCTAGCTGGCTATATTTATAAGGCAGGCCATCAATAAAGTTATCCTATACTTTAGTGTGTTTTTATTATTTTTGGTTCCTAACTTCAGTCAACAGCTCTACATGCATGTGTATAAGTTGTGTCATATTCACATGCAGGTGTTCAAGTGACACGGTTATTGAATCTACAGACCTACTTTTGTGTGGGGGGGGGGGGGGGGGGGGGGGGGGGGGGGGGGGGGGGGTTGGTTGTGCACATAAATGCACCCCTATTAAAACGGATGAATATTTTAAATGTTAATGCTGCTCGGTCAATTCATGTTCCAGTACAAACATAACAACTTGCCACCTGTCTTTGATGACCTTTTTATACAGAACTCTTATATGGCAAGAAATGTAAGTAGTTTTCATATACCCATAATAGCTAAGACTTTCTTACAAAAACAGAAAGCCTTCAATTGGCCTATATGGAGTCATGTTCCACCTGATATAAATTGTCCTTCATTGTATTCATTGAGACTACATGTACATGTAAGTTAAGGTTATTCCTGATACTCAAGTAATCCATCATTTACAACATTCACGGAAGCACTTTTTCCCCCGTCTTTGATATTTTCTCCCTCTTCTTTCTCGTTATTGGTACCACCTCATCATTTGACCTTTTATTTACTTTTGATTGTATAATTTTTTATTATTATTGGGGGGAGATGAGGGTTAGGGTTCTATTTTAAACATACATTGGAGTCGTTTTATGTTCTATTATTGCATTGTATTGTATGTATGTATTTGATTTTATGTATTTTCCTATGTTTGGCATTTGTGGAGAAATACATTTAATTGAATCGAATTGAAGTTCAATGGCCTGCTTTCAAAAGAGTATGTAAACAGTATATGAATGAGTATATTACCTACTTCGTTTTAAGGGTTTTATTAATTATTTACAGTGGGTAGGATTGAGGATGATTAGAAGAGGGAGGGCATAGTGATGTAGACTGGAATTGAATGGATAAGGGATAGTGGTGGTGGTGGGGGGGGGGGGGTGTTATTGGAATATATAGGAGTGTATATTACCTACTTCGTTTCCACGTACCCAGGCACGTAGGCGGTAGCCATAGTTTGATGTTGTTTTTTTTGGGGGGGGGGGGGCACATGCATGTAATCGATAGAGGTCAAAAAAAGTTCAACTGATCTTGGAATTTGTTTGGGGGCATGCCCCCCCCCCCCCCGGCTACGTGGCTGCACGTACCCCCCCCCCCCCCATACCACTGCAGCTACAGTGGTCTCGATATTTGAAAATTTGACATTTTGTTCCTTAGGAGGAGGGGGGGGGGGGGGTAAGGTCACTTTTTTTATGTCAGCCATTGGCAATTTTTTTTTTTTTTTGCTAAAAAATACACACATAAAAAAAAACTAAAGGGGGGGTTTAACCCCCTCCCCCCACCCTGCGTACGTGCCTGCTCTAACTTATACTTGCCTGTTCATCGATCCAGGATTCTTCTAGCCATGGTTACTGCTAATAGTATTAGTACTAGTAGTAGTGGCTATTCACAAATAATTTGTAAAGGGAGGAGACTCAGATTGTGTGCTAAAAGTATAAGACAACATGCAGACAAGAGATCCAGGTCCGGCATACGTGCCATAGCTCCCCCCCCCCCCCCCCCCAAAAAAAAGGATGTGTCCCTGACGCGGTTCTAGGACAATTACTCCCTGGACAAATCAACCCCCCCCCCCCCCTGCTAAGTACCAGCGGAACAATTATCCCCCAAGGACAATCACACTCCTCCGCCCGCCCCCCCCCCCAGGACAATGACCAACTCGGAAAATTACCCCCTACACTACTTCTAGGAACTCTGGGACAATTACCACCACCACCCCCCCCCCCCCCCCCCCCCGAGATCACCCCCTTTGTGTATGTGTTTGGAAGGGAGTGGGGGGGGGCGGGGGAGCTCGCCCAATTCAAATTCAATCCAATTCAAACTTTATTGATTTCAATCCAAACAGATAGGATCATTCTCATAATATCTTGTCTTTTGGCAATTGTCTTGGGAGGGTAATTGCCGGGGGGGGGGGGGGGGGGTACTCAGATTAGGTTTGAACGGGGTGTATAACTGAAGCGTCTAAACCATACCCATTATAAGGGTCATTTAAAAAAAATAACAAGTAAAATTGGACGGACTACAGTGTATGTTGGGTGAAAGATGTAGTTTTACATGTTGTACATGTATGTAGCTGTACTGTTTACGGCGCGCCAGTGGGGTCCATAAAACTACGTCACAAAAATTTTCTTTCCGACTGAAGCGTCTACCGGTAAACCATACCCATTATAAGGGTCATTAAAAAAAAAAACATGTAAAATTGGACGGATTATGTTGGGTGAAAGATGTAGTTTTACATGTTGTATGTAGCTGTACTGTTTACGGCGCGCCAGCGGGGTCCATAAAACTACGTCACAAAAATTGTCTTTACGCTAAAAGTCAACTCCCTTGTTCTAAGAATCTGAGAGGTGTTTCTAAAACGTGTTTTAGAGGGATTTCAATATATTGATATATCAAATGAATATTATGGTATTCTACGTGCTTTCCGCTTTATTTGCCATATTTGTGATTTTCATGGAATATCAACTTTAAGGTTGCGCTGTTTTTCATTTGCTAGTGAACTTCTTTTTCCAGTATTAATCGATACATCATGTTAGAGTATTTTAAATTCAGATATAAGTATGATTTGGAATTTTGGATTTTCGGAGTGAAAAGTGCTAAGTTTTGCTTAGTAGTGTAATTCAAGCTTTCATTTGATCCAACCTAATAAAGGTTTTGTTTTTTTGTTTTTCTTTCCTTTACATTTTAAAGAGGAGCCACCCATTCCAAGATGGTTATCATGGATGAGAGTGGGTCAGTGCTGGCATGGAGTGAAGCTCAGAGCACCAACCATTGGGTAAGTCGGACAGAACATTTCTTCACCTCTAGAGACAGAAATAACTGTCTGGTTTTATGGGCAACTGACTTTTGTTAACCTTGTATAGAGGTGGTCAGTGGAGCCAGACTTACACGAAAGTGACCATAATGGTCAGTTTGGGCCAAAAAGTGGCCAAAATGTCATGAGTAGAATAAATAAAAACATTCTTTGAATCTGCACAAAATTATACCCAGTTAGGCTAAATGTATTAAAACCTTCCCCACCAAAAATCCTGATTTAAATACATTTACCTTTTCAGCCAGGATATATAACAAAGAAGAGCCACCGCTGATAGGATGTCAACTTTTTCCTATGATCCATCATGTGAAATTGAATAAACGCTGGTGTCTCTAGATAAGATGGTGCTGTGGATCGTGAAGCAACCATGCTGTTTCAAGAGCATACATGTCAAACAATATGTTATGTATGCTATGCCTTCAATCTAGCAATATTTCCCAAGGTTTAACATAATTTTGTACTTGTTTTCTCAGCTGATAGGTATTGACCTGTGTCTAGTGAGAATCAACAGCATGGCTGAGGAAGCAAAGAAGAAGGCTGGTATTGATATTCAAACTCCACTCAAGGCGCTGGTAAGAAGGAGATGATGAAAGTTTAATCATTTATGCAACCCATAATACTATTTCCAATTTCTTTTTGGGAGAAGGGGGAGGGGGAGGGGAGCTGGCTTTATCAAAATTAAAAAATTAAAAAATGTTCCAAAGCAGGAAAATTGGGACTGTTTTGAGGGTTTAATGGGTGGTGTAGCAATAATTCCTGCACTTTATGATATTAAGACAGCCACATAACATTCTAAATTGCTTGTGCATATCTCATTGTAGCTGATGATAGGAAGGAAACAGTTGTACACTGTCATTGAACTTTCATATCTTTATCAATGAGTTCTACTCTAACATCTTTGGCTCAGTCAATATGATCAAAGTACAAAGTCACTGCTCGCTATCATAAGATCCTGTAACCTTTTCTTATTTCCTTTGTGTAGGGGGTAATACGTGATATAGGTACATTTTTATCACATTAAGAGGTAATTACCTCTTGTCAAGTTGTTATGTCAATAGTAACTGCAAAGCTCATAAGCTACATTGCCTTACATATTTCAGATCATAAGCATTATGATTGGCCTTGAAATGTTTTCCCAAAAGCTGACCCATTGGGCAAAATGATTAGGACTACAATCAATTGATTGATTAAGTACTAAGCAATTGAGAATTTGTCACTTTTAACTGTAAGCTTTAGGGAACCTATTCAGCTCAGGTCATATATTAGGCATTATATTCATGAGCAATAATGATCTGGAACCATCTGCCCGGCTCAGCAGTCAATGCAAAAGGAACAACCCACTTCAAGGAGGTTGCTCTACCCATCATTAGAATGATGCACCTCTGTAGGCTCTCACATCTTTAAAGTTTACTGGCATGGTTTTAACTTACACTATTAATAACAACTTCTTATTCAGACAAGGTCATTTTGCGAGTCCCATATTTTTGTTCTTATTTTGTAATAATTTGTTAAAGTCCTGATATTGAGATCCCATTGTAACTTATTGGGACTCTTTCCGCCATTTTCAGGGTCTTTCTTTGAGTGGTGGTGAACAGAAGGAAGGTCAACGCAAGGTCATTGAGGGTATGAAGGAGACCTTTCCATACGTCAGCGAAAACTATCACATGTGCACCGATACCTATGGAGCTATCGCCACTGCCTGCAAAGCCGGTTAGTTAAAAACTAATGTTGGTGTCCCAACATGTTGATTTTTTGTTTATTGATCAATACAGATGTGCATTTTCTGTTACTTTTTAGACGATATGGAAACATTTTGTAATATTTCTTATGAAAATGACAGTAAGATGATGTAATAAAGGAGGAAATGTGAATCCTAATGTTTCTTTTAAGCCCCGATTATATGCATAGATATTGCTCTCACATGAATGATAAATAACTGAATAAAATGAACTAAGCCTGATGTAATTTTATCTATAATTGGCTGCCTGTTACCTATCGTCTTCTCAAAAATCATTTATACAAATGAAAATTGATTAACAATTTGTTTTTATTTAAGTTCCTTTCTAACTTTTTATTTTGTAATGTGGTAATTAATTTGTATTACATGTGCCTGACATAAAAATGTGATGTTGGTAAATAATTAACTTGGAGGCTTTTCAAAGATGTTGACAGAACCACGTCAAACTAAGGCCAGTGAGAAAGATATATTACACATATCCTGTCAATATTATAAGGCCTGTTTTCATCAGCTCGAAGTTTGCCAAATAACCCAATATTTTCAGACTCGGGATATTATCCCAAAGCTCGAAATTGCGTTTTCACCAGACCAATACGCTCATCACAAAGTAGCTCGGACAGGCGCAAATTAGCCCGCCATTTCCCATATTGTGGGATATTTTGGAAGCATGTTCAAGATTTCTCTGGATATTTTCTCGACCAAATATCCCCAAATTAGATCTGCGGGTTGATGAAGACGCAGATTAAATGGTTAATTTGCGATCAGGATAGTTAAAATCGCGAGTTATTTGGCAAACTCGAGCTGATGAAGACGTGCCTATTTTTTTTTTCTTTTCTGGTATTAATTTCCCACATACAGGAGGCATAGTGTTGATCTCAGGTACAGGGTCCAACTGCCAGCTCATTAACCCTGATGGATCGGTCCACGGGTGTGGAGGATGGGGTCATATGCTGGGTGATGAAAGCTCAGGTAGGATCAATCATAGCTAGTTGATATGATGTAGTTGTAACAACGTGGAATATGGGGTCATATGCTGGGTGATGAAAGCTCAGGTAGGTAGGATCATAGCTAGTTGATATGATGTGGTTGTGGCAACGTGGAATATGGGGTCATATGCTGGGTGAGGAAAGCTCAGCTAGGTAGGATCATAGCTAGTTGATATGTGGTTGTGGCAACTCGGGTACTTCCGTTTGGTACATTTTAAATCATGGAGCTCCATATAGGTCCCTCCCATAGAGATTGTGTGTGGGAGGGAACTATTATTTTGGATGGGGTCATATGCTTGGTAACGAAAGCTCATAGCTAGTTGATATGATGTAGTTGCGACAACTAGGGCACTTCTGATTCATTGGTCAATCCTTGATTTCATGGAGCTCCATATAGGTCTGTCCCATTGAGATTGTACGTGGGCGGAATTAGTGCTACATGATTTAAATCCCCACTGCACTAGTTTGGCCAGGAGGGATTAGACCTCCCTGCATGTTCACTGACAGGTGGGCATCTCATCAAATCAGCTCTCAATTAACATAAGACAGAGAGGACCATGGGAGACCAATGGTCACCGCTTAGTCATTGTTTGCTATATAGAGGGCGCAAGTAGCTACAAGTAGTGTAGTGGCACTTAACATAACTTTTAAGCAATCAATCACCTCCACATACTATCATGATTATATCTCATCCATTTCATTGTCATAATTACTAGCTCTTATAACCTGCACACATTATTATTGCTAATACCATTTTCAAGCTCTTGGTGGCCACTGCAAGACAGTCTATAACGATGTACATATCCTTTTGGAAAATATGATCCTATTTAATATCATTCATGCAGATAGGGCTTGAGCAGTGTTGAGACCAGGGGTGTGTTTCACAAAGACTAAGATCCACTTTAAGTTGGACTTAGATATGGTAGGACGTTCATGCCACTGTTTGCTCTCACCATTATGATCTTTAGATAATAATTTTTCCTTCAATAATGAATTATAAAAAAACATGAATTCTGTAGATTTGTGACCATGATTTGTACATTCCTTCAGAGACCAATGCCAGTAAATGGTGAGAGAAAAAGTGGCATGAACACCTGCCATAGTTAAGTCCAACTTAAATTGATCTTATTCTTTGTGAAACACTCCCCTGATTATGGAGATGACTGAAATGCAGTGACTATTATATATGTCCAATTTTATTTTCTATTCAGCGTACTGGATTTCACAGAAAGCTGTTAAGACTGTCTTTGATGCACTAGATAACCTAGCACAGCCACCGCATGACATAACATACATTAAAAAAGCCATGGAGGAATACTATGGGGTAAATTGAATCACTTTTATGTTTCCTAGATCCTTTTTTTTTAATAGACTACGGTCATGTTTATATGCAGTTTAGTGTAGTAGTCTAGTTATAAATAAGACTTTCTACTACCGGTAACCTTTGTCTCAAAGGAGCATTGACATTGCCAAATTTAAATTCATGTTAAATTCGTTTGAGGCCTATATGCACCTGTTGAGGTAGTTGCACAATTATTCATGTATAGAACAGTGCTATATTTTGTGTGTCTTGCGTATTTGATATTGTCTAAGAATTCTTATTCAGAGCTATTCTCCTTCAAAATTACATTAAAGAAGACTACATCTTGTCTTCTAGCCAGAACTTGCCACTCTTCTTACTTTGAAATTCATTCTCAAGTTTGACTGCATATGATGAGAACCTGTTCTAGAATCACTCTTCATATTGAAAGTTTTACTATATGTTTGCTCATATTGTCAGCTTTCCAAAAAATGGAGGGGTACATTAAATATTGTAGGGTGTATTAAGCCAAAGCCCTTTTGCCCCCCCCCCCCCCCCCCCCCCCCCAGCAAGAGATATGTGCTCATGTGTCCATCGTGTAAAATAATTAAAGGGGAATTCCACTCTTATAAGTTGGTTAAAGGTTAATAGAAGCAGAAAATGAGAGGAACAGGTCAGTGACAGTTTGAGCAATTTCCAATTAAAAATAGAAAGTTATGAATGTTTAAAGCTGCTATCTATGAAACAAAAATTGTCAACTCTGACGTATCTTGTGAGGTTCCCTCCCATCTGATTTTTGTCTTTTAAAAAATCGGAAATTTCTATTTTTTCCTAAAGAAAATTTGCAATCATACATGCACCATAAATGTAATTATTGCAATATGTTTCTATACAATCCCTGTCCTTGAAAACAAATCTATTCCATCATCAATAACTAAAACAACAAAAGTTTATGAGATTTTTGTACAGAGCAAAGTGGAGAGGACCTCACAGGATACGTCACAGTGTTGCCAATTTGTGTTTCACAGATTACAACTTCAAAAATTCATAACTTTCTTATTTTTAAATCGGATTTTTCTCAAACTTTCAGTGGCCTGTTCCTCTCGTTTTCCTGCTTCCATTAAAACCAACTTAATATCAGGGTGGCCTTCTCCTTTAAATGTTGAACTATATACCAGTATTACCATTTACCCTTCTTTACTTTTTATTTTTCCTTCAGTTTACTGAGAGATTTGGTCTTTTAGACCAAGTTTACACCAACTTTGACAAATCAAAGTTTGCGGGCTTCTGCAAGCGCCTATCACTGGGTAAGCATACATTCTCTATTTTACCTTCTGTTTTTATAGAAAATAATGAAATATATATCAAATTAAAATGTTTTGGTATTCTTAAAAGATCAAGAAAAGTCATGAAAAAAGGGTCTTAATTCCAAAGAGAAACCTGTTTTAACTCGAATAACATACATCCAATGTCGCGTGAATATGGTACTTTTTGTGAATCCTTACTCAGTAAGCCGCAAAATTGGTAATATTCAGAGCCCATTTTAGACCAACTTTCAGACAAAAATGGGGCATATTTTGTGGAAATTGTTCTTGAAAGTCCGCCAACAGGGGGTCATTTTAGACTCTGCTAATGGTTGTGCGTCGCACCTTTGAATATAAAGTAACAAAATGGGGCTGTCCATAAATAAATGAAATTTTAGTTTGGGGTTGTTTGTAATCTGTTAGTTTCTTCTATCTTCCAGGCGCTAGAGATGATGCTGATCCGTTGTGTCTATGGTTGTTCAAAGAAGCGGGAAGACTACTAGGAAGGCACATCATAGCTGTATCTCCTACTATCAATCAGGTAGGATCAGTCATTAGCTAACAGATAGTTACTATTTTCCTAGGATAATAGATACTGTTATACAAATAATACACAGCAGTGAGGGCATTAGTAAGAATTACCCACACAAGGTACCTTTGAAATTTGTTTCGAAGGTACCGAGTGTTGGTAATTTTACTACTACTAATAATAATAATAATAGTGAACATTTATAATGGGCCATGTCTGTCAAAAAATGACACTCCTGGTGCAGTTGTGTGGAAATTGTATAATTGTGGGCATACAACCATAAAGTAGTTTAAGAAAGAAAGTCAAATACACATACACTGTAAGTTAAAGTTACTTCAGGACATAATTTGCAATAATAGAATAATACAATACAAAGCATATATTACAATAATGCCCGAACAAAACGGTGTGTATTATTTGTTTCATTAAACAATGTTTTATATCATAACTTTACTAATGACCGGTCATTAGTAAAAATTATGTGTTAGGCAAAATACTAAATTGCATGGTCACATGTATGCTCTCAATCGATCATTTGATTAGGATCCGCTTCATCTTATAAATTAAACTGACCCACTCTGACTATGGTTGTTCCATGAAGCTGGAAGATTCCCCAGAAGGCCTTCTCTCCACATATAGATCAGATGAGATCAGTGAGAAACTAGTATTAGCTAGTCTAACAGATACATGTAGCTATTATCCTTCCTGAATAGTAGTTACCTGATAGTTTATACAGTCAAACCTGCTTTAGTGACCACTTGTCTACAAAGACCACATTTTTTGTTTTCCTTGAAAATGGTTTCTCATTGAAACATGTACTAAAGGAACCTGTCTACAAAGACCACCCGTCTACAAAGACCACTTTTTGTGTTTCCCTTGGGCGGTCGCTATAGACAGGTGTGACTATACTATATTTAAATGAGCCATTTCATCTATGGTTGTTCCATGAAGCTGCAAGACTTCTAGGAAAGCACAGAGTTTGCCGTCTCTCCACATGTAGATCAGATGAGATCTGCCACTAACATTAGGTCCCTTTATTCAGTAAAATAATTTACAAACGGAGTACCGTACCTTCGTGATTCCAACTCTTTCAAATCATTTTAGTACCAGGTGCACCCTGATTCAAGTTTGTTTGAAAATGTGTAAGTAGAATAAGTCTAGAGAGAAAGACAATTTCTTCCATTGCTGAGATGGATGTCAGGGAAGTGTTTCACAAAGACTAAGATTGACTTTAAGTTGGACTTAACTATGGCAGACCTCATGCCACTGTTTGCTCTCATCATTTACTGGCATTGGTCTCTCAAGGGACGTACAAATAATTGTCACAAATCTATTCATTATTGAAGGAAAAAAAATATCTAGAGATCATAATGGTGTGAGCAAACAGGGGCATGAACAACCTGTCATAGTTAAGTCCAACTTAAAGTTCATCTTAGTCTTTGTGAAACACTCCCCAGATCTACTTGGTAGGTTTGAAGATGGAGAAAGGGTGTCATGCACAAATGGAAGACACAGGGGGAAAGAGAATGGTGATGTCTTCCATTTACGAGAGGAAGATCAGAAGAACAGGTTCATGTAGATGTGCAAATTGAGGAAGGAATACACAAATAATGAGACAAAAGTAGTGGGACAGAAGGAAATCAAGTGGCCATTTTCTACAATGCTACTTTCATTCTTATGAACAAGATTCATTAATCAAAGAGTTGTTTGGTTTCATGTTTCTCTTGATATTTCTCTTGCAGACCCTGTTAAATGGTGAAGGAGGATTAAGGATTGTCTGTGTTGGATCTGTGTGGAAGAGCTGGGATCTACTAAAGGAAGGTAACATTTATAATAATCTACATGTTCATTAGATGATCTACTTGGAGTTGGAATAAAAGAATGGCAGAAATAATAACAAATGTAACAAAGTAACAAAGGAGACGCGATGGCTCAGTGGTAGAGCAGCGGTTTTGTAACTGGGAGGTCCCAGGTTAGAAACCAAGTCGATGTGCTAGTGCACTTTGATAGGGCATTCATTCTCATACCAAGTCCCTTGGAGAGGATTTAAAGCCATCGGTCCCCTGGTTGCTTACTTACAATCATACACATGCTTTCTTAGCGGTCAGTTTAAACAAACCATCAAACCAAAACAATGTGAAAGAAACAAACATGTGATTAAACACTCAGATGCCATTTGGTCATTGCACTCTAAAAATCTGACCTTGGTTTATGTACGCATTCGATTCTCATTGACACGTTGTGCTTTAAGTCTTGTTCAGATATGACATTCTGAAATTGCGATGGTTTTTATGATGACGTAGAGTAAAGTAATAAACTTCACATTTTTGTATCTTGTAACATAGAGCTATGTGAATACATGTAGGAACTTTCAGCTTCTCTTGTTATCCAGTGACTTTGCCATTGACAATTAACTTCAGGGACCCGTTTCACAAAGCCTTTTTTCAATGACAAATGACTAAAATCAGTGACAAATCTGCTGACAACCATTCAAAAGGCAAGGATTTCAGTAGCTTATATCACAAACTGTCATTTGTCACTGATGACAAGTTTTGTGAAACGGCCCCCAGATATCGCTACAATTCACTCCTCTCCACCAACCAAGGTTTCTTGAGGACTCCTACCTGGGCCTCAAAGAACTCTTCTGTACTCAAACTGAATGGCTCGAATTCAGTTTTGAATTTAACCCATGGTTTAAACCCTCATTTTCATAACCCTTGGTTTTAAATTAGCGCAAATTAAGTGTACTTTGCCTTGCGCAAGTCTAATATTGGACCTCTGGCTGTGTCGCGCTTAATTTGTGCTAATTTTATAAAGATGAAGATTTGAACCTCCTTTGTGAATTCGGGCCAATGACTTCAAAATTCTTAACACCAAACCATTACACTGCAATGTTGACATCATTTGCATCAATCATCTTCTCTTTCCTTTCAATACTCCAATGTCAGACATTAAAATATCTCCCTTTTCCTTTTCCTTTTCCTTTGTGTCATCCATTTCCCTTTGCGACCAAGGTTTCCTAGCTGGCTTAGCGAGACCTAACGACTCTTACCCAGACATCAAAGACTTCACTCTACTCAAGCTTAAGGAATCTTCAGCCATAGGGGCGGCCAGGCTCGGAGCCAAAGTCCTCAGTGTCGACCTCCAGATCGACTACGAATCCACGGTCGATGTCCTATTCCAACACACCCAATGAATGTCATATAATCGGTGGATGTGTTAATCTAGGTACACAAGATATATATTTGTGTGCATATATATATATTTATGATGGTGCATCGCCTGTGCGTACATGTATTGTCAAAGTGGGTATGTGTACAGTGTTTATTGTGCTTGTGTATGTATCTTCGCTCTCAATAGATACTGCAATTGAGAAATATGTGGCATTGAAGCCTAGCTGCCAGTACTACCATCATATAGATTTGCTAAATACATAATAATCAATGTTAATAGATTCTATTTTGTATTGGGCATTTCTGAGAAATTTTACTCCTGTTACTAACATTTAATTCAATTCAATTCAATTTGTTTTATTCATTTCCATTTGCAATATAAACAATACAAAGATATATACAATAATAAGCATTTGCAAAATATAAGAAAATGAAAATTGGAACTAAAAAATAAGGCCAAATGGACTTGTGGAGCATTGTATCAAAATAGATAACATGAGAATATTTAAATAAAGCCATTTTCAAAATTGATGCTTGTGATAATGGAGAAATCAAAATTAGTCATCATCCTTTTGCTAGTACATGCATTTAAATAAATATGTATTTTGGAAAGAAAATCTATTTGGGTATAAGCCTGTACATACACAATATACGTTCTGGTCAATGTGACATGGGGAAATGCAAAAGGAAAACACTCTCGAGTTGCCTGATAAATACTGTGCTCTGAATTCATACAGGTTTGTGAAAGAATACTTTAAACCAGGCCTTCTCAACTGGCGGCGCGCGCGCGCGCCACTTGTGGCGCTTGCGGTCAGTCGGAGTGGCGCACGACTGTTGCAACAACAAAACAAAATACAGAAAGAAAGAAAGAAAATATATATTTTAGAATTAAATACTCAGCTAAATCAAGAAGTTGCAGTCTAATTTGAGCCCAAAATGCCTGCTTAACAAACAAAAAGAAAGGGGAATTTATTGTTTTTTACCATTTTATACGAATCTTAACCTAAGGTCTGAACAACAATTAGCTTACGATGGGATACCAATTTTAACATTGCCAATCTCTGGAAACATCTTGTTTTTGTTTGTTTGATGTTCCCTTTTTTTGACATTTCCCGTGTTTATGGCACACAAAAAACTACATATAAATATACCTCCAGTGTAATTGTCCCCAGGAATCGTACCATTTTTTTCACATTAATATGAAATTATGATTGATTATATTGTGGAATGAAATGGTGTTTAAAATGCACAATTTGGGCCTTTAGAAAGTCCTTAATCCACCAGCTTCAGGGGGCTATGCCCCCTGCTACCCCCGTTAGGGCTTCGCCCCTGGACCCCACCTATTTTCGGCTCGGTCGCTACGCTCCCTCGCAGCACAGTCAACCATACAGGGTGGCACTTTAACTACAAATTCTTTTTGTTTTGGCGCTTCTAATAAACTAGTTGTGAAGGCCTGCTTTAAACCTTTACAGTGGACCCAAATAAGCATAAAATAGCGTGTGAAGGCATAACTTTGTCCTTTTTTACTGGACATACTAATCAAATCCTAGGACTATGGACTGAGATTCAAGACTAGACAAGACATGAGTCCGCTTACATAGCAAGTAAGGAGGTTTATGTAGGTTTAGACGGCGGGTCATGATAAACCTCTTTTTTGCCAATATAGGCCATATATTTTTTTTATTTATCTGCCATACTTTTTTTATTTTTTTTTATTTAGATTTTTTTTAGAGAAATCTAAAGTATTTATGACATTCCATGAAAATTATTTTTCTCTTGTTATACAATTGCATTCTTGAGGACTTTTTCATCTCTGTATGCAAGCCCTAGAAGATGAAACAATCTTGTTTTCTTTAAAAGCTTCTGTGAAGCATATTTGTTTTTTAAATAATACACAGGAAAACTTTCTATGATTCCATACCAAGTATTTTGGGATTATGGTGGAAATTGTGCTAACTCTGTAGGCAGTTTTTCTACTTTTGCAGATATTCAGGAAATTGAAGAAAAATCATGAAACTCGAATGAAATTGAAGGAATAAATAAAAAGTTATCATTTTCTCTCTCTTATCATTTGTTTTGCTTTAGGAACGTATAGTTTTACACATTTTCCCTTAAATATTTGTTTGTTTTTTATTTCAGGAAATTGAAGAAAAATAATGAAACACAAAATAAATTGAAGGGAATAATTAAACTGATACTTTTCTCTCTCTCATTTTTTTAAACTTTAGGAACATATAGTTTGATGCGTTTCCTTTTAATAATATGTTTTTTGTCGATCACTTGTGAAATTGGAAGTTTAAAGTTGCTATTCTGGTGCAACAACAAACGTGACACTAGCCTCCCAAGCATTTCATTAAAGAAAATTTTTTAAAATGGCACATTAGAGGCATTTTTGAAAAATTGAAGGAAATTCCATCAAATTCCAGGAAATGTGATGTTCTTTTGCAGGAAATTTTATTTGGATGTGTGGATACACTGCCTGTAGGTGTCATAGTTCATCATTAAAATATATATATGTGCATTTTGTCACCAGCTAAGATGTAGAAGGTCGTTGACCCATGCAATTAAATACTATGTCAACACCTTTCTGGCTCTAAAATAGATATTGTATAGAAGTCAATAGCATTCTTGAATTTGTTGAGACAAATAGAGATCTAACCCAGTAAGTACCACAAGTGGAAATATGTTGTATAAATTCATGGCCATCCTTGGGATGAGGCAGAAAGTGGGTTAAAAAGAAACAAAAATTGGACCCAACTTTACCTTTGTGTTTTTATTATGCCTCCGCAACGAAGTAGCCAGAGACGACATGTTTTTGGGTCGTTCGTCCGTCCGTACGTCCCATTCTTGTGATCGCATTCTCTCAAGAACAGATTGATGGATTGCCGCCAAACTTGGGTCATGTATGTATCTTGCAGAGCCAATGAACTGATTTTGGGGTCACAAGGGCAAAGGTCACAGGGATTATTGTGTTATGCAAAAAATTAGCTCCTGATCACATTATCATTAGAACAGATGGACAGATTACCATCAAAATTAAGATCTACTTGTATGTATTTTGTTGAGCCAATGAACTGATTAGATCTTGGGGTCATGAGGTCAAAGATCATGGGGCTCATTATATATGCAAAAAAAGTTTGTGAACACATTATCATTAGAACCGACGGATGGATTACAATCAAACTTGAATTTGAAAAAATTGCTTCTGTCTTGGTTTGAAAATGTGGAGGCATCATTTTCGACTACACGCATTCAAAGATTCATCTAGTTACTTACGTGCTAATGTGAAAAAAAGTACTGGGTGGACAGTAATTTATCATTAGGATTTAATATTTAAACAAAAATGGTAAAACTCAAGCCCTGATAAAGAAGGAACAGCTCTTTCATGGTTTTTGGAACCACTCTCACTCGTCTGCACGCTCACTCTTGTGTGCAGAGTCAATGGGTCGGAAAAAGCGAGACCAATAAACGTGTGACGATTTAGTGCAACTCGCGGAGCAAATGACGTTTTCATATTTCACGATAAAGGGGCCCTCTTGCCAAATTGAAAACCATTTATTTGTCCCTCAACAAGTACATGCTTACCTCATAATATATTTATGATAGGAAAATAATCTGTTTGGAGCCAGAAGGGCATTAACTCATATTATGTTGATAATGGGTTAATGTCCTTCTGCTTCTAAACAGGCAATATATTTTGTGCTTGAGTAGGCTACCTCTAAAACCTCGGTCACAAATGCCATTACGAACTGCTACGAACGCCGTACGACAATGGAAATTCGGGAAGACATTGGAAAAACGGAGATTCGTACGAAATTATCGTTCGTACGAACCTTTGTGACCAAAGCATAAGATGAAATAAGAAACAATTTGTGTTATTTGCTGTATCATGTAGTAATGTCAACAATACTGAATTCCATAGATGTAGAAAATTGTGATTGATTTATAGCAACGGTAGAATTTCAGCTGCGTGTATTTAGAGATCTGCTTTAGTTATCTACATTGTATGGCATTATTTCCTTCTAATTTTGAAAGAATGAGATATTTCATTAATTACGAATTGTTTGCAATTTCTTGTAATTTATCTTTTATATCATAGGTATATATTTTTATAATTGTGAAGACCTAAAGACATGTGTACCCTTGCCATTTTTGTTATCATAATTATCATCTTTCATTTATGTGTTTGAATGATTTTTGTATTTGTAGAATTTCATATGTACTAGCATTAGCACTTGATAATTGTGAGCAAGCAACAAATATATCTATGAAACAGCATAGCCAAGATATCTTAATTGTTTTTATTGATTCTTGTGATGGTTGTAAATGAGATTTAAGTGCAAAATGTGGCCAAATATTTGTCTTTCTCAATATGGGAAGAGGTGCAGCCCCCATGGACCCCCTTCTCACCCCCCCCCCCCCCCCATCTGCCTATGCACAATAAATGGAAGAACCATGGTCGTTTATTCTCAGCAGTAATATTTTAATCAAAAGCTTATGGTTTAATAACGATTTTAAAAACCATTAGACAATAAATTTAATTTAAAATGAATGAATTTTCACTAACATTTCACTAACATTGCAATGCCTTGCTATTATATTCACATTAAGATTGACATATTCCCATCTCTCCATCTCTATACAAATATAAAAATGAAAATATAAACAATAAGTATATTTCTCCCCTGGTAATAGTTACATTTGTAAAGATGTAGTGATATAATTATATAGGGGTTCACACTCTTGACTCAATCCAAGGGAATAAATTGATACCTGAAGGGGCTTATTCCTTGGAATGCATTTAAATGGCTTGATATTATAATGTCTATAATACAATGAAATACAAATTTTAGTTAATTCCAACTAACGTTTCCTGGTTTCAACGATAACACGTTCCTCACATAATAACAAAGTACATGACAGGTAGTATAAATGGTTTAGTTGCAGTTCCAAAAAATTCAATTGACAGAGAAAATCTAGCGCGTATTTGCAGATTGAAGTGATATAGATTTATAGTTGTATAAAACTAAAACTAAAAGTGTCGGGTGAAGAGTGCAAATATCCTATATGGTGATATGGACCTCATTCGTATTTGACACAGTAAACAGTCTGCAAAATGAAATGAAATATAAATCAACAAGTGAATACATAATAATAAATAAATAAATCATTGAAAGTGGAAAGATAAATTAATAAATCTAGAAACCACGAAAAATAAAGATGGTAGTATAAATCAATTTTATAAGAAAGGAAAGAGAATCTGGGAAGGTATAAATCCTCTTTCCCATATGCCGCAGTAAACCTTGTGGTATAACAATCATTTACTGTGTCAAATGGGAACCAGCTAGTCCTTATAATATTATGTCATTTATGTGAACGGCTTCTGAGCGTCATTAGGCGGTGTCACACAGAAAAATCCCGACCCATCTTGAATAAAACAGATTTTAGAAATCTATTTTTTTTCTTCATTTATGTCGGTGACAGACTGGTGACAGACAGGCTACGAATAAACCGGATAACTAATTAAGTCCAGATTTTTGATGGGCCATTGCGCAAGCGCCGTTTAGGTAAACGTGTGATTTCCAGGCGCGTAGCCAGAGTTCGATGTTTGGGGGGCACATACATGTAATCGATCGAGGTAAAAAAAAGGGGTATACAAAAGTTCAATCGATCTTGGAAATTTTAGGGGGGGCACGTGCCCCCCCGTGCCCCCCCGTGGCT